TAGTAAAGTGTATAATACTTATAGTCTCCCGGTGGGGCAGCGGTAAGTCTACGGATTTACAACGCTAAAATCAGGAGGTTCAGTTCCCCTCGGTGGACACATTAGATAGCCCGATGTGGATTTGCTATAAAACACACACATATAATACTTATATTTTCGCAAGGTTTCGGAAAGGTGCTCTTACTCTGATAAATGTTGCTAACCAGTATTTGGAATAAAGTTAGAATCTAAAACAAGGTAGAAAAAGGATCGTCTAGAATTTAAAACCTCGAGGATTTTTTTGTTTGTAATTAAGCACAAAGCTACACAATGGGCTATCTGTGCTCTGCCCACCACGGGTATCGAAACCCGGATTCTAGCGTTGTAAGTCCGCAGACATACCACTGTGCCACTGGGGGGCTAAAACCTCGAGGAAGATGGGGTTTAACGTCACATCGTTGCTGTTTACAACTAGAGAGAGAGAGAGAAGCTTAAACATATACTGAATAAACATCTTAGTTCTGATTTAAGCTTGCGCTCGACTCGCGAACTGAGGGTCGCAGGTTCGAACCCTTGTCACCGAACATGCTCGCTCTTTCAGCCGTGAGTATGTTATAATGTAACGGTAAATCCCACTATTTGTTGGTAAAAGAGTGGGCCAAGTGTTGGCGGTGAATGATGCCTTCCCTCTAGTCTATCATTGCTAAATTAGGGACGGCTAGCGCAGATAGCCCTCGTGTAGCTTTGCGCAAAATTCCAAATACAGACAAACAAGTTCCATTTTACATAAATTCATATAGTATAAGATGTTATTGTTTTTTTGACCCGTGTCTTTTTCTAGATTTCTTCCGTTTAATGAAGATAAGCCCTAATCATCTTTCCTTTGCATAAACTAATTATCATAATAGCATTTATAATGTGTTTCTTCTCGTTAGCTATCCATTGTGGTGGAGAAGGTTTCGGGTATACAAAGAAAAACACTGGAACATTTGGAAAGCTAAACTGAAGGACTGGCTTACAGAGGTTAAGTTATTCCAAACCATGTATGTATGGGTTTTAACATGTTTAGTACATTAGCAAGTGTCAAGCAACGATGTTATAAGGTGCCGTGAAACGTTGTCATTAACCCTAATAATAATTAGCTATCGACTTTGAAACTTCAGTAAAACAAAACAAACAAATAATGATCTAAAACTGACCCCGTGACTGTATTTGTACATTTAATTAAATTATGTTGTCAAAAATGTAAACGGTTAGTAAACGTAGGAATGTTTTGTCCTCTCTGCCACCGTGTGTTGAATCATTGTTCACCATAGTAACAGTAGAATTATGAATCATTGTTCTCCATAGTAATAGTAGAATATTGAATCATTGTTCACCATAGTAATAGTAGAATATTGAATCATTGTTCACCATAGTAACAGTATAATATTGAATCATTGTTCATCATAGTAACAGTAGAATATTGAATCATTGTTCACCATAGTAATAGTAGAATATTGAATCATTGTTCACCATAGTAACAGTATAATATTGAATCATTGTTCACAATATTCTACTGTTACTATGGAGTAGAATATTGAATCATTGTTCTCCATAGTAATAGTAGAATATTGAATCGTTGTACACCATAGTAACAGTAGAATATTGAATCATTGTTCTCCATAGTAATAGTAGAATATTGAATCATTGTTCACCATAGTAACAGTAGAATATTGAATCATTGTTCACCATAGTAACAGTAGAATATTGAATCGTTGTTCACCATAGTAACAGTATAATAT